TTTTTCATCCTGACGTATCTGTCTTAGGAAACGAACATTGAATGCTGCCAAAGAAGTAGGACCTCGCGGCCTTATAAGGAGCTGTTTGCGATGTGAGTGTTGTTGGGTCGTAGTTACAGATAGCAGAACTCCAACGATACACCTGCTGTCTATATATATATATATATATATGGTCCCTCTGTAGGCGCAGGCGTCCTGTGGCTTGCCACAGTGACAGGCAAATCCGAAACCGGATGCCGCCAACCATATATATATATATATATATATATATATATATATATATATATATATGGTTGGCGGCATCCGGTTTCGGATTTGCCTGTCACTGTGGCAAGCCACAGGACGCCTGCGCCTACAGAGGGACCATGGATGGCTTGCGCTGCACCACCCACAGCTCCAACCACATACCCCATATCCAGTGTAAACCCGAAGGAATAAGACCGGGAGGCATGCGGATGGGAACCACGTTTCATCAACGGAGCCGGCCCACACTCCTTCACAGGCAAACACAAGCACGCTGTATTTGGGGAATCAACCGCACACAAGGCGGTGGCTGGACCGTAGTCCGCTCCACACTGAGTGCATGGAACCGCTCTTTGAGCCTAGCACGGCCACAAGAACCGTGCACCCCGTCCCCTCTAGCAACGACCAACTGTCTCCTGGAGCCAGTATGAACGATGTAGTGGGTAATAGACAGGTAGGCACCTTGTCAACATACACATCAAGCGCAACCATACCAGGGATATCAAACTACAGCCATTCAATTTAAACGACAAGCTGAAATAAAATAAATCCGATAATGCATACAGATACGGTGGCATAACTCTTCGCTAAATTGCCATATGAAGTAACTTGGTCAGCAACAAATCCGTGATAAGTAAGAAATGTTCACAAGTTACTTGAAATGCTACAAACGCAACAAAATTACCGAAGATAAGCGCAATTAGTGTAAGCAACGTGGCCAGTTAATAGAACATTATTCAGGGAGGCAGAACAAACTAAATAAAGCGGAATGAAATTTATCCAGCTGAAAAAGACCTAGTTTAAGTGTAAGTTGGTTTAGCCCAACTGCGGTGAAGAAGCATCAAGAATGCAACATCAGCCTTAGCATGGGGCACACATACATACATGGTTGGCGGCATCCGGTTTCTGATTTGCCTGTCACTGTGGCAAGCCACAGGACGCCTGCGCCTACAGAGGGACCATGGATGGCTTGCGCTGCACCACCCACAGCTCCAACCACATACCCCATATCCAGTGTAAACCCGAAGGAATAAGACCGGGAGGCATGCGGATGGGAACCACGTTTCATCAACGGAGCCGGCCCACACTCCTTCACAGGCAAACACAAGCACACTGTATTTGGGGAATCAACCGCACACAAGGCGGTGGCTGGACCGTAGTCCGCTCCACACTGAGTGCATGGAACCACTCTTCGAGCCTAGCACGGCCACAAGAACCGTGCACCCCGTCCCCTCTAGCAACGACCAACTGTCTCCTGGAGCCGGTATGAACGATGTAGTGGGTAATGGACAGGTAGGCACCTTGTCAACATACACATCAAGCGCAACCATACCAGGGATATCAAACTACAGCCATTCAATTTAAACGACAAGCTGAAATAAAATAAATCCGATAATGCATACAGATACGGTGGCATAACTCTTCGCTAAATTACCATATGAAGTAACTTGGTCAGCAACAAATCCGCGATAAGTAAGAAATGTCCACAAGTTACTTGAAATGCTACAAACGCAACAAAATTACCGAAGATAAGCGCAATTAGTGTAAGCAACGTGGCCAGTTAATAGAACATTATTCAGGGAGGCAGAACAAACTAAATAAAGCGGAATGAAATTTATCCAGCTGAAAAAGACCTAGTTTAAGTGTAAGTTGGTTTAGCCCAACTGCGGTGAAGAAGCATCAAGAATGCAACATCAGCCTCAGCATGGGGCATATATATATATATATATATATATATATATATATATATATATATATATATATATATATATATCCAACAGTCTACTAATAGAGCTTGAGCCATCAAAAGGCATGGCAACCAATAAAGGTACAGTCATCATAAAAATACCGAACATAACACAGAAAAATACATACTGTCTTCCGTGGACACGATACTCCTCGGTTGTCCCAGCCGAAGTAGGGTATTGACTTAGGAGACACTAACCCGAGGCTTTGGCTGAATGGTGTACCCGCAAGGTAGCGTAATGAAGTGAGGGAATCACTCCCATGGGGAGCCGGTGACTTATTTTTCTGTTCATACTCCTTTCGTTTGGTCGAGTACCAAACGGGGACCTAATCCTCCCCCCGCTTTTGGCAGGAGGTTGCTGGATTACAATGTTCCACCTGAGTGAAGCAAGGGGCAGTGACTTTATTTATTGAGTCACATCCGCCACGTCGCGTCGTTGTTAAGCGGACGTATGTGGCTTTTTATAGGAAGGAATCTTACCAGGTGAGGACGCACCACGTACTGGAACACAGCCGCCGAACCATTTGTTGGAACAAGATACACACGACCCACTCTGCTGGCACCACGTGGAAGTTGTTCGGCAAGTCGACCACCGTCAACCAAGCCGAAGCTTAAAGAAAGTACATTATAAATGGATTCAGAGATTGGTCTTTATGGGAACAGGTGGAAATAAAGGAATGCGAGCATTAGCAGTGGGTTGTCTCCGCTTATCCGCTCTGTGGGCGGCTGAACTATAGCGACTTTTGAAACTGCGCATCGACCGATGCAAGGTTGATCGAAATTGGTAATAAATTCGTTCAATCATGTCTTTACATAGGGTAGATTACTCCCATGGCACCCAAACCCTAGACAGGCGAACGATTAGGGTCCTCAGCCAAAGCGGTTGACTCAAAAGCCTCTTCTCAAAACAGCAGTTTTTCAGACATAGACGCTATCCAATTTCCATTTTGGAGTAATTCTTGTGGGGCCCGAGAGCACCTAGTATTGCTCAGTGGGTCGAATAGGTACACGAACCGTCGCTTGACGTTAAGGTCCATTCTAGTTGCGACGGACAACACGATAAAACTGACCATAATTGGTTGCAGAATGGAAACGAACTATGAAGAAAGGGCTTGTGTATAAGCAGCTAGTGACACTATCACTTCAGTTAGCTGAGCAGACTGTCCGTTTGAATTCTAATGTTCATTTTCTTTAAACTCGGACATCCCAAACTTTACATACAACTGCATAAGATAACTGATAAGAAAACGCTAGTACGGTTGCTTACCACAGCACCCTGGCAGTTCCTACCTTTAGGTGGGTTTTTAATATATAAAAGCCAGTCACATCGTCTCTCCATTCCAGCATTACTTTGTCTTTCGTACAACAATGCCAACCTCGAGACTCAGTCTGTAAGTAGATTTTGAAAAGAAATGCCAGTTGGTTCATTTTAGATTCTACGTTCAGGTGCTACAACATCTTTGGCTCGACCAATGCTCGATGTTGAACTCTAATGGTTATATTGCCCGTTTATCGTAGGCAGCATTCTGCCATCGTCGTAGACCAAGCGTTGCGCTCTTGCTGTACATCAGTCGAGTGGAGCCTATAATTCGTAACCTTTTGGTTTTAGTGGGTAAGTTTTGCAGGGAGAGGTCAACAACTTCTCGACTACCGCCAAAGAAGAGTATTTTGTGGTACACCCCTATCACATCCTACGTGAATGTCGTCAGAAATGCTCATTGACATAAATTATATCTCCAGTGTGAACTCCATTGTCACGACTCTAAGGCTCTTCGATAACCGGTAGAGGTATTTAGCGGAGTCATTCATAATTTCTTAGGCTATTCCCTTTACCGATATTCGTTTGTAATAACCTTTATTCTCACTGCTGAAGATGTGTGCATTACAGCTTGATATTTTTCTGTTGATGTAGGACCCATATTATTGATTTGATCCGAATTTTAGCATAAACTACTCTCGTACCCCCTATTTCGTAGGCTTTTCCGTTTATTTTTCTTTGATAGTTATTCTGGTTGTCTTGCTTCTTCTACTGCATGTATTTCCCTCGTTGAGATGAATAAATGGCATATCTGAAGTATAATACCTGTTTCACAACCTAGAACTCGACACCGTTTAATTCCTAAGTTTCTTTCTACTAATTTATGTCTCGTTTCGGCTATTATGCGCTTGTTATTGAAGCGTGCCACATAATACACGCCCACACTCTTCTTGGTTGTGACTTCCAATTTTTCGATCCCCCAGCATTTTGGACGGAGTTTGGACAAAGACGCTGTCCATTCAGTTTTTGGGATACTTTTTGTGCGTCACTCACTTTAGGTGTGTAAAGCTTGTTTTCACTTGACTTCAACTTTCAAAGCTCATGTAGGTAGTAGCTACGCATATGCTAAATATAGAATATAGAACTACGAAATAACAGTTCTGAATAGGCCGCGTAGTCGAGTGCGGATACCAGTAATCAAATAGAGCGGAATGTTGCGGACTATATTCGTAGTGGCTACAAGGTGACGTTAGCGAAAGAAGCGAGTGGGAGCGCGACACAGCACAGCCACTCAGCAGACAAGTTCTATACTGATGTAGTCAAATGTTCAATGTAAGATTAAGAGGAGTAAACCAATGATATAGGTACAGTCGGTCCATGATTAGTGTTCATCAAATGTAGGAATTCTCCCTCGTCGTTTCAGGTCCCTACTTCTACAAGTGTTTCGATGCACACTAGCAACGTAGTTCCTAAGATCGTCGTTTTTGCACTTACCCTTTAGTGGTCAATTGCTGTTATGCACCAATTTAAGTTGAATCGTATCGTATCGTATCAGATTTCCTCTTAGCACCTAAAGGGCCACGGATTTCAAATTGCAAGCAAAGCGAATCAATTGGATTCTTTTTTAGCTGATGTTAGATGATTCTCTAATGATGTCAAGCCACTATTGTCTCAGTTTTTACGCTTCACACATCAACTGGAGTCACCTTTTGATTTCTTTCTCATTTCTTCCTTGTTCCTCTTTGTATTCAGACAAGGTCAAAGTTGCTAAAGGTCGCGTTCTAATCCACTGTTCTGCGGGTATTTCCCGCTCACCCACACTGGCCATCGCTTATCTAATGTCCTCTTTCCGGATGCCTATGCGGACGGCGTACAAGTGAGTTTGTTGCTACAGTAGTCCTCCGCTGTCGCGCTACATTTGCACTTTATTTGTTACAAATTCTGAAGTGTACTGACAGCTTTCCATACTTACCTATTCCCTTTTTGCATGAATCATGTACTGGTGTGCGATTCGCTTTTATCTTAATCCGTTGTGTAGATGTGTACCCCTGGTTCACCATATTAACCCCCAGTTAGCTTGCATTTGATTTCAGTCTGTTTTATCGATTTCCCCTTGTACACTTCTCCTTTCGCAGGGATTTTCGGTAGCTACTCTACCTCATCACCTGCTGGACACCATCACTTTTTGTATGTTGAGATTCCTCAGATGATTTACCATCTTGGATCAGGCCACACACCCTTCATTTCTCTATTCATTATATTAGTGATTTTTGCTATGCTTGTTCAATTAGGCGCCTAGGTTTACCAAACACCCTCCGTTTACGGTGTGATATTTCCATAACCGTAAGGCTACATACATCCTCTATTGGGTTGAGATGCAAACTGTACTCGTATACATTGATTTGGTGTACCTTATACTAATTAGCCCTCTCTTCCTAATGATACTGTTTATTCAGTTTCGATTCCAGCAATTGCTGAATTTAGTTTTCCCACTACCTGGCTTCGCGATAGATTATCGCACAGCTTAATGTCCTAGTGACCATCGCGACTAGACGTGGGACGACCATCCCCGTACTTCCGTGACCCCTTGAGATTCTTTAGAGCCCCCCATATCACGCAGGTCAATGGTTAAGAGTCAAATCAACTGAGTTTCAGCTCCCTCATTTGAGGTTGGCGAGATGTCTGTGTTCCTCTTGGCCATTACAGACTACAGGTTACACGTTATGAACTCAGTTTGACTGTCGTAGTTCATGAGCGCCCACCTTAAGCCACATAGCCACAGTCAGAAGGATTTGTGGGGCTGTTGAATGAGTAGTCAATGAGGCACGTCGCAAATAACCCCGCTGTCTGGATGGGAGATCGGAGAATATTAGCTGCCCAGTTCCTTTACTTTGCAAGAATCCTATTCCGTTTACCAGCAAAAGACCACAAATGACGACTTATGGTGTCATTCGTACATCTGATCTGTCAGCGTCCGCACGCTGCCCGATCGGTTAGCAGATAACACTTGCAATGATTATGCACACTCTCGAAGTTGTTGCAGTTGCAGGATGAGTGCGCTTATCAATCTGTGCTTGGATTCTATACTCCGATTCCAATCACTTGGTTTGCAGTCTTCTCCAACGCAAGCCACAACCCTGTTCAGTGAAGCATTTGTGCAATATTATGCCTCATTTTAAATCTTACTACAAACTTATGCACTTAATGCGCCGTCTCCCCACACTTTTTAATCCAACCACTTCCTGCTACGCTTTACCTGATTTCACATGCTTCTTTACGTAGCTCAAATGTTATGGCTCAGCCGATACCTGGCTCTCTATTTTCAACACTCACTTGCGTTAACATAAAAATGCTTAGACTTCCTCTACCATATACCTTTCGAACTTTCCGCAGCAATTTATGCCAACTCATTCAGGCAGTTTTTCAACATCATCAACTTTATTCTCTTAGTGCGCTTCTTTTCAGTGCACGTTCAGTAAGAAACACACTGTCTACTTTTCGCTCCATGGCATCACTTATTTCAGCTGCTTTTATCCTATTAACGGAAACGTTGCTAACTGATGACACACAGCAACTGAATTTCCATATCGACAAATACGGCATTTTTTCCGACGCAGTTCTGAGCACGCCGGTTGATCTAGTACCGATATCCGCAAACACTTCTAAGCATCACTGCTTATTATCCAGTTTTCAGAAAGCAATCTTGACCAAGGTTCACTTCAATATGAATCGCGGTCCACCTTGAGATTGCACGTCGCCATCCAGTCAGACACAACGAGTTCTTCAAAATGACCATCATTAACCGTTGTGTCATGCTTTGCCCGTCGAGACCCGGTGACTAAAGGATAAGAGTTCACAACTAACATCCCACTGGTCCCGAGTTCGAAGTCTTTTACTTCTACTTGATGAGAACAAACAAGGCCTAGACGCGTCGTAGAGTGTAGTGTTTTCAAGCGCGCAACGCCAACTTTCCCTCTGCTTCAGCTGCGATCCTATTACTGAATATTGAGAAATTGCCGCGAGTAGAAATGCCGCTGTGTCGCTACATCTAATACCTTTCAAGCAAATCTACCTATTATGTTGGTGATTATTCTCGAAATCTCAAGTCGGCAATGTGCGAGTCCAGGAGTTTCTTAAACTCCGACACTAACTTTGCTTCGACTATATCTGCAGGCAGGTTGTTCCAAATATTCACCACCCTCCGCTCGAAGCAGAGTTGGTGAGCGACCCACTTCAAATCCGGTACGACAAGCTTGTACCAGTGTCCTCATTTGATGCTTGGTGTGCGCAGATGCAGCAGCGGCCTCAACATGGGGTAATCACCCAGATGTAATATCCGATGCGTCATGATTAGGTCAACCCGCATTCGACGTTAGAACTGGGTGTACAACCCTTGCGTCGGTCTTCATATGGCACACTTCGGAAACCGGGGCTGAGCCTTGTGGTCACACGCCGTATTCGCTCTATCCTTTGCACCTCGCCCCGGGTGAACGAACAGTAAGCAGGTGAGCTGTACTCTAGTATTGGCTTGACGATTGAAGAAGCGGGTGGCAACCTCTTCGGACAAAGTGCAGAAGCTGCGTTTGAGCGCCCAGAGCATGCGCAGTCCGTTTTGCTAAAGCCTGTTCGTGTTTTTAACGGATTTCAAATCGCAGCTTGAGAGTATGCCGAGATCTTTCGCGAATGGCGATGTATGTAACTGTTGCTTGGTCAGATTGTAGTCTCGGCCATTATCACCCTTCCCAGGCTTATGGATACCGACTTGACCGGATTGTTTGGAAGGTTAACGTTTGCTAACCACATGGAAAGGCGGTCAAAGTCACGCTGAATCTGGTCGAAGTCGGGGGGCGATGGTTCACTTCACTGCGAATCACGATTCACAATGAGATTGCGGTCCACCATTAAATCACACAGCGAGTATTTCAAAATGACCCTGCAATCAATGTTCCTGTAGTCAACAATCACATTCACTTGGATTGCATATACACCTCACCGAACCCTGGTGGGGCTGAACTTAGTATCGTGCTAAACTAGTTTTACTGATTAGCGGAAAAATCCACCAACATCAGCATGGCTGATATTCAGTGGGCGTATTATATTGCGCCTAAGAATTATTTAGAGCCCCTGTCTTCCTTACAGCCGTTTGCATAGGCTCTGCATTCCCATTCTTGTGTTCAAAACAAGTAAATCCTAGACCAGTTTTCAGCTTTGGACTTGCTTCCACTGCGGTCATCCATAGTTTCCCAAGTAGTGACCACAAGACGGTACACTTACCTTTGTTCGGCTGAGCGCCAAAATCTTACACTGTAGCCTGATATGTTTTATCATCCTTTTAAAACTCTACATTATGCTAGCAGGTATGTTTCTCCACAAATGTGAAGCTGTGTCCATATGAGTGTTGCTGTCCTTCTTAGATCTGTACAACGAGACAACTTTCTAACAACAAACCCGCAAGATTCAACATAGCAAGCAAATGCAAAACTTCAACTGAATCATCTGAATTCAGATATTTCGCGTCTTCTCATCAGTTTTTTTTTACAGACAATCAGTGGACTCAGTATGCCGCACACACAACGGTAAGGCAATGTGGGAAATTTGAATAAACCTAATGGATAACCTCATCAGAGAAAGGCGTGCGTAGTCACGAACTCCGTCTCTTTACATAAGTTGGGTTTCAGCCGACGAATTGCTGAAGGCTCTGAAAATCGGAGCAGACGAACAGTGTTCTGATGATTAAGGATTGTGAACGGTTTCCGTGGGTTTTGGCATGTGGGGCAATCGAAGATATCAGGCGATGCATACCAAAGTATCAATACAAACCGTTGAAAAGAAACAGCTTTCCCTGACTTCCATTCAAAGGAAATAGTGCGGCTGAGATATGCACACGTCGACTATTACAAAACTGCAAAAGACCTTTAATGCGGTTTTCTCGAGCAGACCTTTAATAGTTCCGCGATTCAAAGACCGAGTGCCTGATCATCTCCAATCAATGTTAGTCTACTGGTTCACCTGCCTGTGCGGAGCCAGGTACATTGGACAGACAACTAGGCATTTAGGTAAGAGAATTAAGGAACACCTCCAAGCTTGGCTCTACAATCTCTGAAATAGGACAAACTACAACGCGATAACGAACTAACTAATCAACACAGGCCACCAGATAAACAAACAAACATCCTTTCAGATTCTCTACAGAATACCACCAAGGCATAACCATCGTGTAAGAGCAAGCCTACTTGCCACCGCTGAGGCAGTATGCATACGCCTGACAAACCCGGACTTGTGTGTCCAGAAGAAGCTGATACCAACACTACAACTTCCATGGCCGACCACCAGACGGGAAGTGATGGCACTCCGCAACTCCACCTGACTTCAGTCATGTGATCAGATGACTTCCATCATTATCACAAGTTAAGTTTTCTGATCAATGGTTTTTTTGTCTAGTAATGCGTAGACGGATTTGGGATTTCTTTGTTATGCAGACGATTGCAACAGACCTTACCCTAATGTATATTATTGTATGATCATGAGAAAGAATTAAACGAAAGCAATTCTTCGCTTAAAGCTTTGTGTGTTGCTTCTCTTTCTGAACTTGACGTAATAAATGGGCATTCCGCTCAACAGTCAGAATAGGTACCAGGAGCTGGTCAAGTTGATGGAGCGTAGAAACAAAATGAATCGCTTCCTACCACACTACTCACACTGTTTGTGTTCTCGACTGTCCGTCAGCAACTATTGTGTACGCAGCTGTGCAAAAACTAAATCTGTTTCCAGACTGGGCAACGTTTGGAATCTGCGATCCATAGTTGCCGTGGTTTCACCAACCGAGCTCAGGTGGTAACAATTTAACATTATACCTCGAAACCAAAGCTATTCTCA